TTGCTTACAAATCTGAGAGGAACAGGGTTATCACATCTCTGCTCACAGTGTATTTCCTTTCCTTATTGTCCAGATATAGAGTGAGGGTGGGAGAGACAGAATATGTGTATTTTCTCTACTTTCCAGTTTGACACATCAGTTTGTAGATAGACACAAATGTCTGATCGTGCATCATTTAGAATTGTTCTACAGAATGTGCAAAGGCACACGAGCTTCATGGGATGCAAACACGGTGCAAATGCCTTGTAGAGCACTGAGCAGAAACCCTTCAACCACTTGGCTGTGCCATCATTTCACAGTCCTCCCTCCTCTCTGTCTGCCACTCCTGCAGCCAGTAGATCTCTCATCTTCCATAGAGCACGGCAGGGAGGATGGGGAAGATTCCTTCTTCCTGGTCACGCTGTCAGTCCCTTGGCCATGCAGGCTGAAATCCCGGATTCCCTTTATCCCAGATTCCCCACCCACTATGTTGCTCAATCCTTGGAATAGTCTGAAGCTAACTGAATACTCTTTTATTTAGTAGTCAGGTGGTCGCAATATAAGACCTTTAAGATGAGCGATTACTGTCTCTGTGCCTGAATTACTAATGTGAATTAGAAATTGATTTTAACCATTTTCCTATAAGCTTAAATTTCTATAATACTTTAATGTTATTCTTTATGTAACAGAAAGAGAACCCTGCCACAATATTTCACATTTTCTACTTCTGAGTATTGCACCTATTCTACTTCTGAGGCTTGCCTGCGCTCAGACCCGAATTACATCATTGCTCAGGACCAGAACGAGGTCTCTCTGTCACATTCCGTGCATGTACGTGTCTTATATGTGGCTGTTAAATGAAGGACCGAAGGCATTACAGCAGCTGAAACACACGTAGTGGAGGAAAAAAAAAAAGATCAGAGCAAGTTCAGCTCATGGTGCAGGATGATGTGTGCTTATGTCAGCCTTCGCTATAGCCGGCCGAGGCAAAAGGAATTAAAGATCAACTTGAAAGCAAACAAAAAAGTCTCCCAGACCCCTCCCCCTTGCAAAGCGTGGTGCCAGTGGAGTGAAGTGCGGAGGCTGCCTGCTGAGAGCTTCTCTGGAAGGCTACCTGCAGGCCGGGACTCTCCTGCTCCCAGGGAGCCCTGCTCGTGCTGTGCTGCCTGGGACCGCCCGCCGCCATGAGACGAGCCCGCTGGCTGAGTTACAGCACTTCACACATCTCCTTCATCTCGCTCCTGGACGGACGGTTCAGGCAGTTGCAAGGTACAACCAGAGCTGTGACGTGTGCAGTTTTTCTTCTGCTGGTGCGGGTGTGAAACATTTCAGCTGACACAGGAGTGCAGAGCAGCGTTTTGAAGTGGCAGTGCCCCAGTTGTTCGTTGAGTTAGGTTTAAATATTTTATAATGCGGCGCTGTAAAAGACCGTTTCCTGCGTTACTGCAGAAGAGCATGTTGTGTTTCTTTTCTCTTGGTAGAATCTGAATGAGGCTGAAAAGCATGCAGTTTAAAGCTACTGTATATAGTGCCTTTCATCTGCTCCTTGTGTGAAAGATTTCCACAGTGCACTTACAGCACAATGGATCTTGGAGGTGAGGTTACCTCTCACCCATCTTCCAGGGAAGTGTTTTTTACTTTGTGGAGATCTGTGTAAAAATAATCTAATATGAAGCTGCTCAAGACTGAAATAAGGTGGTATAACGCCCATAACGCCTATTTATTAAAAACTAGTTTTTTAAAAAAACGAGACATTTGGGGGGGCTTGAGTCTTCTTGGACCAGTTTGTGTACCAGTTCTTGAGACATTGATACCTGAATTGATGAGAAGCTGTTCTGGAACTTGATTTGAGTCCTGGAGTCTGGACTTTGCTGGCTCAAATCTCTTCCTCACCCAATGTGATTGGGGTTCTCTAGGCTGAAGCACACATCTGGACAGATCGCCACAGGGGTTGCGATAGCATAAGCTGGGTATCCTCACACATTACACAGTTTGCAATCGTTTGTATTCTCAGGAATACAAAGGTTTTTATCAATGTAAGGATTACAGTGAAGAACCATGAATGATGTTCTTTCCCTGTCTCTTAGTACATGACAATTTATGAATGATGCCATATTGCATCCTTGTACTGTGTCTAGATGTGGAAACTTTCTGTCATTCAGTGGGTTTTCATTCTTTCCATGCTTTCATTAAAGTATTACAGTGGACAGTGTCTTTATCATCAATGTCAGCTGAAAACTGAAAAGTTCATTCACTTGTGAGTTTGTAGTAAAAGGATTCAAAATTGAATATGCTCTGAAGCTGATTTTTAGACCTAGTAAAGTTACAGTGCTTGGCATAAGAAGGAACTGGGGAAAGTGAAATGCTGATTCTAATGCTCATAGCCTGGGATCTTCAAGAACTTAGCACTTCCTAAGAGCTGTAAGACCCATAAGTTGATAAATTCCCCTTGGTTTATAGGATCTGAACTCCGAATCAGTGGGTTTCAGGTGATAAACTTTTGCTGATTTCTTCACGAGCAAAAATGAGTAGACATTTGCCTGGTTGCCCTTTAAAAAAAAAAATTATGCTTCCAAGAACTGGTATGAAAATCCACACAAGTGGTTCCATTGCTCGTCTCGGATATTTGAGCACCCGAGTTCTGTTTTACATCAGATTACTTCAAAGGCACAATGCTTTCATTGTGCCCTTCCAAACTTGCCAGGACATGGGGATGTCTGGGAGAGAATAATAATGAGGTTTACTCTCTAAAGCAGCCCCCACTCCATGCCCATGTTGATATATATTTTGGCAACTGACTGTGCAGTTAGGAGGCTGACATCACACTATGGCCAGGGTGCGGTGGAGACAGGAGGATTGTGTTGTGGACAGTGATGGACAGGGCACGGGGAGCTGGCAGGAAGAGTGGTCCTGGGCAAGGTCGGTAACTTTCTCTAATGCGTTACTTGAATGAGGCTAAAAGACACATTCCTTCTTCCTTCTTTATGAGTGCTGATTTCACAATCCTTTACAACCATTTGTGCAAATGTCTTTACACCCACACGCTTATTCATAATGGTTCATAACAAAAAGTAGCATCAACCAAAAACTGAGAACATGAGAGAGAAGTCAGGAGAAAATGATGGAAGACTCAGTGAAGGATTTGAGAACTGACAAGTATTTACTGAAGGCACAGCTCAGTACTAGTGGTCCTGATACATTTATGTTTCAATAAATTTTTCTGGATGTTTTTATGCCTGTTGTTTTATCATGTTGTGTACTGTTTATGAAGGAGTTAAAACTGTTTATTAGCCTCATTCATGTGCAGAGCAGTTCTGTTAAAAAATCTCTCCCGACAGACAGAAGCTTTTTATTATGTTATCTGTGGACTTGTGCATTACTTCAGATCCTTACTGTGAACAATGACCAATAACTGTTTTCAGGAAATTTTGCAGAGCTGTGCTTGTTGGTTTATTGTTGGTGGTGTTACTGACAGTTTGGCAATCAAGCACACAGATAGGCTTTTAGAGATTGAATTTAACAGAAGATGATGGATTGCAATAATAATTATTGTATGTACATAATAAATGTCAATACCATCACCTGATTCTCTTTTAAGTATCTTAGCTGTACACTGTGGTACTTTTGATCAGCAGTGGCTTTATATACAGTAATCTACTGACAACAAAAATGAGTAAACTGAAACGACTAAAACTGAAAGTTCTAATGAATGAACCTAAATTAAGATGTACATGAAGGTTTGGCTTTATTTCAGTTTTAGAAACTTAATTAGATTTTTATACAACAAGGAGATAATCCAAAGCATACTGTTAATACAGTCCATGGTTGACGCAGGTTCTGAAATGACTCCCACATGAATCTGAAACTACTATAAAATAACCATATCAAAATTAAGAAACAGTTAATATTTGTCACTAATAGCTGTGGATTCCTTGTAAATTAAGCTTGTCAAACCGCTGTCTGACCTCCACACAATGAACAATCCTACTGAGAACAGCAGCCCCCCTGTGTTGGAGTGAGGCGATGGGTCCCATCATTCGTTGGGAGCATCAGTCTATTAGCCATTTCTTAACCAGTGTTGTTCTTCTGGGGTGGCATGTTGGTGCAGTGGTTAGCATTGCTGCCTCGCAGCTCTGGGGGCCTGGGTTCAATTCCTGGGGTGCTACAGTATCTGTGTTTGTATGGACTCCCTGTATTTGTGTGGGTTTCCTTTGAGTGCTCCAGTATCCTCCCACAGTCCAAAGGCATACTGGTGGGTTAATTGGCTTCTGTAATATTGGTCCTGGTGTGAGTGTGTGTGTATTCCTTGTGAAATACTGGCATCCTGGGTGTATCCAGCCTTGTGCCTGTTGCTGGCAGGATAGGTTCCCCAGCCACCCTGTGCTAGATAAAGCATTCAGAAAATGGATAGATGGACGCCTATTCCTCTTATAAAAAGTACCCTATGCAGTAAGGCTTCTAAGACTGACGGAGTCTGATTAACAGAACATTTGGCCCACGTTATGTGATGTTAAGATTACTTTGTGAATATAGTTTAATAAACTTCAAGGTCTCATGTCTCAAGGTGTCATGTGTATGAGATGTTCAGGGATTATTTATTACTAGGAAGTGAAAATAGCCACGCTGTATAAATAGTGATGCAATGAGTACTACCAGGGTCTGAGTTTTAACGTTGTTTTTGTGATCAGAAATAGGGGCAAACTCTATTACCCATGAGAACTTACCCTTGATAGGTGCATGTCATTCTACTACAAGAAGCAGCAGAAGTTATTGCCCTGTATCAGGTTCCTGTGACATTGGGATCATACCACTTCTGAGATAGATTAGCCGAGAGCATGTGCCCTCTCCGTGTCTCTCTCAGCTGGGACTGGTTTTTACTCTGTCGTGTAAAACTGGTCTTTTAAAGGCCGCACTAACTGGCAGGAGGAAGAGGAAGACGTCTCACAGTAATGCGAGTGCTGAGTGACAGGTGCAAAAGCTTTTCTTCTGAAGATTCTCATGAATGTGCGGCTCCTTCACAGACGAGCGTGAGGCTGTACAGAAGAAAACCTTCACGAAATGGGTGAACTCTCACCTGGCCAGAGTGAGCTGCCGGATTTCGGACCTGTACCTGGACCTGCGAGACGGTCGCATGCTCATCAAGCTGTTGGAGGTCCTCTCCGGGGAGCGACTGGTGCGTATTGGTATCTGACAGCTGTGTTATCGCTGACTCTCCCTGGAGAATTCCTACCCTGTGACCTGTTCCACAGCGCACAAGTAGACCCACTACTCACAGAGGGTCCCCCAAGACACTGCTGTAGTTTTCACAGTCTGATTTTTTACATAGTGCCTTTTAGTGGTGAGCAATATGTCAAAGCATCTTAAAGTAGCAACAAGTCAAGACATTTCCAGATCAAAGACCTATAGAACAGTTTTTGTTCTTTGCATTTGAAATGATCACAATTCAAGTACACTTTTTACTACATTTAAAGCATTATCACAAAATACCTAGACTGTATAGTTAGTAGTGTTTAACAATATATAGTAGCACTATATATACAGTAAAGATAACAAGTTAAAGGAAAATCAAAACTGATGTCTTCCCTCACGCTATATGTGTCCAAAAGTGTAGAGATTATAATATAAAATCCCTTAATTTCAGTTCTGTGCTTTTAAGAAGTATTTTGGCTCAGTGTTTTACATTTTGTGTGTATAGTTGTGTTTTTGCCACTGGCCTGTAATACTCTGCACTTAAACATCACCTGCCAGGTGTTTGAATTTTTCTTGCAAGAAAGACTTAGCTAAAGTTCAAAACAAGACAAAATAAAAAAGAGGAAATCCTCCCTGTCCCAGCCCAAGCCCACGAAGGGCCGGATGAGGATCCACTGCCTGGAGAACGTGGACAAGGCCCTGCAGTTCCTCAAGGAACAGAGAGTCCACCTGGAGAACATGGGCTCTCATGACATCGTCGACGGCAACCACCGCCTCATCCTGGGCCTCATCTGGACCATCATCCTCCGCTTCCAGGTGAGCTGCACGGCTGACCTCTTATTCATACTGTATACAAGCTCACCCCTGCGTTTTTTACCTTCCTTCTCTGTGTCACAGAGAGGCCTCAGATGCTCTGTAATGTTGCGTATTCAGGTAGCTTTGCATGCTGCTCCATTTCTAGCTCTTTTAGCTTGCATTGTTTGTTCTTGTAATCATAGCTGGTCAGTGCATTGTTAAGGTCCGGATCACTTGTGCACTATTGAGACGTTGCAAACGTGAACAATGAAGTGTTTCTTTTTTTAAAGCGCCCGGCAAACAATGTGGGTCAAAGTTCTGTTGCACAGGCCTGAATCATCAGTTGTCAGATGCCAGCTCTGGCATGTGTCTGACAATACTTAGGAGAAGCCGAGATTCAGCCGGAGAAAAAAATTAAATTGCATGTATTTCAAATTAATTTCAAAAATAGTTCCTCTTCATTTCTGGTGGTTCAATAATAATCTCAAGGGTGAAGTTATAAAAGTAGAAATAAATCAATCACGCTCAAACCCGATGAGCTTAAAGAGAACCTTTTTGAAAAGGTGGTGCTGCCAGTTACATCTATTTGTAAGCCATATTCTGAGAAACGTATTCTGAGAAACTCATTACTTTATACTTGCTTAATATCCAATATATAATATAATATCCAATATATCTCTTAAAACATCATAAAGAGGGTTGTCATGGCAATGTGGGTTCAGGTCAGGCCTGGGGCACCTTCTGTGTGAAGTTAGCATGGTCTCTTCATGGCCATGTGGGTTTTGTTTGAGTTCTCCAGTTTCTGCTGTCCATGGTAATTGGTGTCTCTAAATTGTCTGTATCCTGTCTTGTGCCCAGTGTTTGTCAAGTTAGGTTATGGCTTGCTGAAACAATATGCTGGACTAGGTAATTGTTTAATCAATTGTTAAATCAAACCAAAGTGAAACATAATTGTATCATACATTGCACTAGATCTAAGTTTTTTTTTTAATATGTTTGTGTGAAGCAGTACTTTAAAACTCTATTTATGTGTAAATATAAGATGTGAACCTTAATATTATTACGTGCTATTTCTCTTTTTTCCAGATTCAAGATATTATAGTGGAAACACAAGACAGTCGAGAGACGCGCTCAGCGAAGGATGCTCTGCTCTTGTGGTGCCAGATGAAGACAGCGGGGTAGGTAGTCGGGACTAAGACTGAAAGCCATCAAGGTCCCTGAAGCAGTGACGGGGTCCCATAGGACAGGGACAGGGCAGATTTGAATTGAGACCCTGTGGCTGCCCCAGGTCCTGTGAGCGTGCGGAGTTATCGGAGAGAGGGTCCTCCTCCCGCTGCTCCACTCTGCTGTGGGCTCGCAGTGTGAGGGAGAGTGGATGTGACGTTGCAGTCTGTTCCTCTTCTGTGCTGAATAAAACTTAGGTGGCAGTGAGACCCTCGCTACATTAACAACCAAGGAATGGAAAAATGACAATTCTAGATTGAATTTCTAAATTTTTAAAGTATTACTACTATTATTTATTATTATAGTGTTGTTCATGCTTATAGCAGTTGGACCCAAATGAACACTTCAGCTATGACAGGGTTTGCAAATTTTAAAGTTTAAAAATACACAATTAGTTGCAGGCCAAATTGTCAAAGGTGAGTGGTTGTATTGGGGTTAGGGAGACTTTTTTTATGTTTTTACATTCTAAACATGTAAATACTTATACAAAACCTGTAACATGAGCAAAAGATCTGCAGTACAATCATGTAGTTGTGAATACCCTGCCCTCTCTAATTTATCTACCTACATTCCCACATTCCTTCACTGCCTAATGCATTTCTCAGACTTCTTCACAGACTACTTCATTTAACCTAAAGTAGATTTTGCACATCAGTAGATACGCATTTCCTGTCTGTTCTAATGGTCTTGTTTTGCAGGTACCCGAATATAAACATCACCAACTTCACATCTTGCTGGAAGGATGGCATGGCCTTCAACGCTCTCATCCACAGGCACAGGTGCTGAAGTCACAGATTCATCCATTCTAAACATTGCTCCCCAGAATACCCCATGCATGCGCAATGTGCAATGCTGTGGTCTTTGTACTGGACGCAGTGCTGATTATTAAGAGCTGTAGAGCTTCATTATGTATTCTTTGCAGTGGCTAATGGATTATCTTTAATATATAGAAACAACACTTTCAAAGCATGTTGGTAGTTTATACATATATATACATTTATACTATATGCTGATTTATACAGTATGTACAGTATAACGCAGACCTAAAAAATGAATTAATTCATGCTATTAATAGCACACAATAGGCAACAACAGGTTATAGAAAAGAAGATCAATGAGCACTGTGAGCTGAATGACCCCTCCCATTCATAGCCATTCTTATTGCTAGAGAGGCTCTACATAATCATGACATTCTTAGACCATGTAGCAAAAAGAATCCAATGCCGTTAAGCACTAACAGAGTTCACTTATTTAGACAGGAGTTACAGATACCGTTCATTAATGATGGATGTTTGCATCCACATAGATGGGTGGGCTACAAAAAAGTGCCCAAGTATATATTGCTGCTAATGTACTTTTAACATACGTGAACCAAGTATTAGTCATTATTCCCTTACCACCCAGTGCAGCCAGTGCAGCCAGTACATAACATTGGCTATAGTCTCCCTTTCTGAGGTGGGGGTTGGTTGTACTGGGAACCACCCCCACCTCAGAAAGGGAGAACATAGCCAATTGAACCCTTACTTCATGCCTTTGAGAAGGGGTAGGAAACTGTACCTGCAGCTACAACCCCGCATGAACACATGAACCCCAGTCAGACAGGCACCCAATCTGAAATCAACCCCATGGACCATGAAACTGCCTCCACACCACTGTACTCCCAGTCTTAATAATCAAATCTTTCTCCCCTCATGCTCCTGCATTAAACTAAAAATCCTAAAAAGGTCTGACGAGGCGCAAATGGCTTTCTTTAAAATGCAATAACCTTGTTAAAATTTTAACGAGCTGCCTATGCCTAGTATAATGCCGTGATGAATTTCTTTCCGAAGAATAAAAAATGAAATGCATGCCGCTGCAGGAATAACCCTTGGTTTTTATTTTTTTCCCTGTCAGACCGGACCTGGTGGATTTTAACAAGCTGCAGAGATCCAACCCCACTCACAACCTACAGCATGCATTTCAGGTCGCGGAACAGAAACTAGGCATCACAAAACTGCTTGATCCCGAGGGTAAGCTGACTGGATATGCCATTTGAGTTATGTGTAATTATTCCCTACAGAACAGCACACAAGATGGCTGAAGCCTTAACCTGCCTGGAAATCAGTGTCACTATTAAGAAATTAACAGATTATCAGAATCCATTTTGAAAAGCTGGAAAATTTGCCTACTACTAGCCTTACAGATCCAAGAAACTCATTGTACCGTTTATGGAAAGCGCACCATGACTCAGTTTGGGCTCAGTCTGCAATCTGCTGAACTCTTTTAATTTTAGTTACTTTCACTCATTAAATGGGGACTGTAACATACTGTAGATGGTTAATATTATGTTTTAGATCACTATCTATCTAAATACATGTATTTCTGTGCTGGTATAACACTTAGCTTTCATCTTATCCTGTGATGCACTTCTACATGTTAATTGAAATGTTAGTAAGTGTGTGTATTAGGCACTCACTGCCAGCTCGTCCTCAAATCTAAAGAGTTTCTGTCATTGATGGTAAGGTTAATTTGACAGCTTTCATTCAATTGAGGCTTGATGGCAAAACTCTTTTGACATAATGGAGTGATACACTGCCTTATTTGATTGTCTTGTGTATTCCAACCATTGTGGATTAAATCCCTCTACAGATGTGTTTACGGAGAACCCTGATGAAAAGTCCATCATCACCTACGTTGTGGCATTCTACCACTATTTTTCCAGGATGAAGGCGCTGGCTGTCGAAGGAAGGAGGGTTGGCAGGGTAAGAAGACATTAATATTGGGCATTTTGTTATCACCTGCTCCATTTTTAATTGCATGCCTAAACAGATGTCAAGGCATGGCTCTTTTCTGGTGAGTTTTATTACATTTGCAGAGCTCTACCATGTATAGATTAGCAGCCTTTCACATAAAGATGACAGAACAGCAGTTCACCACAGAGGACAAGAAAGAAAAGACGCCAGTGCATGAGTCTGCTAGCTTGGACCTGAGCACCATTCTTGATGTGATGGAGACTGTGATGCAGAAAGCTGCTATTTATGCCTTGAGTGCCGAAGTACTGGACATAATTGGACAGGTCCACTGTGAAATTGTCCATTGTAACATGGCGGGGGTCTGTACTTCTTTTTTTGCATACAAATTGAGCAGATCATTCATGTCCAGTCATCTCAACTCTCTAGAGATGCAGTGGCCTAGTACTGACACCCATACTCACACTGCAGTATGACTATTACATGTCCTGTCTGATAAAGATTTGTGTTTCAGGTGCTTGATCATGCCATTGAAACAGAGAAAATGATCGACAAGTACGAATCTCTGGCTTCAGACCTGTTGAACTGGATTAAGCAGACCATCGTCATTCTGAACAGCCGCAAGCTCGCCAACTCGCTGACTGGAGTACAGCAGCAGCTGCAGGCCTTCAACTCTTACCGCACCGTGGAGAAGCCCCCAAAGTAAGACGAGCTTTCTCCAGCATTGTTACAGGCAGTAGCAATGTCCAACAGTCACTTCACTGTCCTGTGAGCATGTCATCTCTGCATGTGGGATTCCAAAATCCAAATGAGTCTGATTACGTGTTTTTTGAAGCTTATTTAATATTTATTTTCAAAAAGCTATGCTATTATCCTGTGAAACCGCACCCTCAACCCTACATTTTTTCCTCAGGTTCCAGGAGAAAGGCAACCTTGAGGTTCTGTTGTTTACCATCCAGAGCCGAATGAGAGCCAACAACCAGAAAGTGTACACACCTCGAGAGGGCGCCCTTGTGTCTGACATCAACAAGGTGAACTTTGAGCAGATGTCTGAGGAGGAGTAGTATGTGATGGCAAACTAATTATCTGAGCCAGGCATACTACTGAAAATCGGGGTTGAAACTTGCTGAATGGACTAGTTAACTCTGCGGTAATTAATTCGATGTTCACCTTGTCCTTACGGTGCGGCCCTGTGTTCTCCAGGCTTGGGAGAATCTGGAGAAGGCTGAGCATGAGAGAGAGCGTATCCTGAGGAATGAGCTCATCAGGCAGGAAAAGCTGGAGCAGCTTGCCCGTCGCTTTGACAGGAAAGCCGCCATGAGAGAGACCTGGCTTGTGGAAAACCAGAGGCTGGTGGCGCAGGTACTGTAGGCTGCATCGCCAAAAACCAAGACCGGTCTTGATGGAAAATTCCTGAGTTGTTTAGAGTAAGCAACTATAGAAATCGTGTTTGTTTGGGGAAGATGAAATTGGTTTGTTTACCTTTCTCTTTACGGCTGGCCAGACTCGTGAACAGAGGTCAGTGTGCTCCCGGGTCTGTTTTATTGGGAGTGAGGAGGCACCTCTTCCTACATCACCATCTGTTAGTGTGTTAAATAAATGTATGTATCTGCAGAGTCTATAGACTACGGGAATTCAAGCAAGAAGGTTGTAGACCCAGATCCAGAGGCTAAGTGAATAAGCACATAGAATAATTTAGCTGGCCATTACATGAGTGTTGAGACACTATTCAAATAAGGTTTATGTGCACAACATTTAAGGACCATGTTTACTGTAGGTCTTAAGGGACCTTTCTCAAACAGGTTTTCTTTTTGTAATACTTTTAATACTAATATACAGTACTACTATTTGTACATGCTTTCACGGCAGTAGAAAACTGACAAAATCTTTATTTTCAAGGGATAAAACAGAACCGGCCTCATTTCCTTCCTTTCAGGATAACTTTGGCTATGACTTGCCTGCAGTGGAGGCAGCAAAGAAGAAGCACGAGGCCATTGAGACGGACATCGCAGCCTACGAGGAGAGAGTGCAGGCCTTAGTGGCGGTGTCCGAGGAGCTGGAGGCTGAGAAGTACCACGATGCCAAGCGGATCAATGCACGGAAGGACAACATCCTGAGGCTGTGGGAGTACTTGCTGGAGCTCCTGAGTGCCCGGCGCGGCCGTCTGGAGACTAACCTGACCCTGCAGAAGACCTTCCAAGAGATGCTGCACATCATCGGCTGGATGGACGAGATGAAGGTGCTGTACTGTCGAGGGCAGGACTGCGGCTTGCTGGTGCTGGCCTTTAGTTATAAACACCGTTCCCAGAAAGTGAACACATCACATAGGAAGTAAGACACAAAATGGTGTGTGCCGTTTGGGGTGAAAAAAGTCTAGGCTGATCTTACAGAAGTATAAAAGAACCACTGTGTGTTTGATTGAGGCACGTCTCTCATTTAACACTGCACTCTAGAAGAAATTGCATCCATTTTCTAACCACATCTTCCAAGTTAGGGTCGCAGGGGAATAGCAAGCAATGGGCACAAGGCAGGGTACACCCTGGATGGGACACATGTCCATGGCAAAGCGAACACAAACACAGACACAAATGCGACGAACTCACACCAGAGCCAATCTACCATGAAGCCAATTAACCTGTACTGTATGTCTTTGTGCTGTGGGACTGGAGGAAACCCATGCAAACTCAGACAGTACAAACTCCACGGCGATAGCATTCCAGGTGTGGAGTTGAACCTAAGACACAACACTCCGAACTCGGGACACTGTGGCATGGCAATGCTAACTGCATCACTGTGCTGCCCAGAAGACTTAATCATTTTATCTAAAAATAAATCTGATTTCTAAGACATTTTTCTCTTCAGGGATGACTGTAGAAAGTAAACAAATTTCATTAGAGAATTATATCTTAAATACTGCACAGGTGTTTACAGACACATTATTCTGCTTTTTAAAAACAAAATTCTCATCATATGTTTCTAGATTTTAATATATTATGATGATAACAAGTATGTATTCTTTATCTTAATATTTAATTATTTTGAAATATGCCTTTCTGCTTTAATCTCTTACAAAAGAGATAACCTGGTCTCGGAAAAGCTGTCAACCAGTTATTCTTATAATTTGCCCAAAACCTAAACCTAAAAGCAGAAAAGTTGTTTAATTCTTGAAGTAGGAAGGGGACACTTCACCCACCTATCCTGGAACAGTTAGATCTCCTTGTGCCCAGTGACCCTCATTATAACACTGAAAAACCTTGAGTTCCAGAGAGGACAGAGGAGTTTGCAAAGCTCTTTTTGCGATGGTGCTAATATTCCTGGGCTTGTGCGCTTCTCAGACTCGGCTCCTGTCCCCTGATTTTGGGAAGCACCTGCTGGAAGTGGAGGACCTGCTGCAGAAGCACGCACTGGTGGAGGCCGACATCGCTGTGCAGGCAGACAGAGTGAGGTCAGCCAACGCCACCAGCCTCCAGTTCGCCGAGGGAGACGGTACGGAGCAGCATCGCCCGTCTTCATTCGCAACCCCGTGAGCTAGAGGGGCTGCACAGCCTCCTCCTTGCATTCTCAAGAGCTGGGAGTTTTCAGCTTTGTATGCTACAGTAACTACACATTAAATATGCAATTAAAAGAACAGCACAGAGGGGTAGTATACAGAATAAACACAGAAAAACACAGATCATTTAGTGGTGACTTCCAAACATCATTCCTCTTCATTCATCATCTCCCTACATCTGCGGTGACATTGTCAGCTGTGTTTTCTAACTCATCAGCATTTTAGAATAACTTAAAAGTGCTTAGAATAATTTTCTTTCTCTTGCATATTTCAACGGTCCATGTTGTTAGACTTAAAATTTCTTCTTAAGACGTGATTTTGGGAAGCAGCTGTCTTACAGATCACATATGAATGACACCTATTGAAGCACCATTTTTAAAGCTGACACTTTAGGATTTTGTTGATTAAAGAAGCTTGGAAGCTTGGAATTAAACACTTAAAATGTAATTTGGGCCCATTCACACAGTAGTGGCTCTTGGAAGCAATAGTACTACGCATGTGTGTGTTTGCATAAACCCATGAATATGGAAGAGCCATACAGAAAATCCAACAAACCTTTTACTAGTTCAGATCACCATCTTGCAGCGCGCACTGCCAAGAACATCAGAGAAAATATTTGTCAACACGTCAACCCTTGTGATTCGTTTTGAAGGCTACAAGCCGTGTGATCCCCAAGTGATCCGGGACCGAGTACAGCACCTGGACCTGTGCTATCAGGAGCTCTGTGCCCTGGCAGCCCAGCGCAAGGCCCGACTGGAGCAGTCGAGGAGGCTGTGGAACTTCTTCTGGGAGATGGCAGAGATTGAGAGCTGGATCAAGGAAAAGGAGCAGATCTTCTCCTCCCTGGATTACGGGAAGGACCTGACCAGCGTGCTGATCTTGCAGAGCAAGCACAGCGCCTTTGAGGACGAGCTGGCGGCACGGCGGGCTCATCTACAGCAGACAGTGACGGAGGGCGAGAGGATGGTCCAGGCGAAGCACTTTGGGGCTCCCAAGGTCAAGCAGCGCACGGCGGACGTGGTTCAGCAGTGGGAACAGCTGGAAGACCTGGCTGCCTTCCGTAGGCGCAACCTCCAGGACACCCAGAGGTACTTTCAGTTCCAAGGGGACGCGGATGACTTGAAGGCCTGGCTGCTGGACGCCCGCCGCCTCATGTCCAGCGATGACATGGGTCATGACGAGTATTCGACGGAGCTCCTGCTGAAGAAGCACAGAGACCTTCACGACGAGGCGCTGAAGAACGGGGCTACCCTCGAAACCCTGAGCAAGCAGGCAGACAGCTTGCCAGAGGAGCTCCGCAACACCCCTGACATCCAGCGCCGGCTGAACGACATCAGGGATCTGTATGTGGACCTTCTGTCCCGGTCCGAACTGCGTAAGAAGAAACTGCAGGATGCCTTGGCACTCTACACTATCTTCAGCGACACGGATGCCTGTGAATTGTGGATGAACCAGAAGGAAACGTGGCTGGTGGGGCTAAAGACCCCCAAGAAGTTGGAGGACCTTGAAGTGGTCCAGAACAGGTACTAGTCGCCTTGATCATCACATTACAGGTTTTACAGCATTCTAAAAAAGTAAACCATTTAAGAAGCCTTTCTTCTTCCGGGGGTCTTAGAGATTGTTAACGAGCAACACATGTTGGTTAGCCACTTCGTGTTCATATCCGGGGGAAAAGGATTTAAATACAAACTCAGGCTTCTGGGGCAGATTTGATTCCAGCCCTGTTTGGAACTTAATTTTTTCTTCTTTTTTTTTCGGCGAAGGTTGGAAATTCTGGGCCAGGAAATGGACAACGTTGAGTCCCGAGTTGAAAATGTCAACAAAGCAGCCAAACAGCTAGAGGACAGCCGGCACCCCAGTATGAGGGAGGTGAAAGACTGTCAGAACCATCTTAACAGGAGGTGAGCAGAACTGTGTGCTGGGTTTTCTGCTGTTCTGGTGATGAAGCATGTGTGTCTCTCTTAGCTCTTTTATCAATTTGCATATGAGTCTATGCCCCTTAATATAACTATTTGACTCTTATATTTGAAATAGAGGGTGAATTGATAAAGTATTGCAGTAGAACCAGTGCATTGTCAATTCTCTTTTCTCTTTACTATTTTATTTTAACATGCTGCACTCTTTCAATGTAAATTGGATCAGCTTCCTCGAGTGTGCAACAGCACTGTCTGGAATAGGTATTTGGGATATCTTGTACACTGTATATATATCCTTATTCTCCAAAGTAGCATACTAAAATGTTGCTCTGTGGGTTTTTAATGGCTCTGGTTATAACTTTGATGTTGGATCTGAACTAAAAGGCACACCTTGCTCCTATTAGAAACAACTTAGATAGATGATTACTACAATTAGGTGAAAAATGATGGCAGTAATCCCTTGCTAGCCTATTTCTGAAGGATTGAAACTTGTGCTGTATAATATCTAAATGTATATAGCATAAATAGTTTTTTCACTTATTCTTTCTTTAAGACGGTCGATGTGAATTATGTCGATCCCCCATTAATAGATTATTCTAAAAATGATACATTCCGGTTGAAAGTATTAGGGGCTCTAGGGAAGCTCAGCCGAATGAGCGACAGACTGATCCAGCTTTGTCGCTGTGATTGCAGGTGGGCTGCCTTTAAGAAGATGGTGGAGGAGAAGAAGAGGAACGTGGACTTTGCTCTCAGTCTGCACAATTATGGGCTGGAGTGCGACGAGACTCAGACCTGGATCCAGGAGAAGACGCGGGTGATCGAATCCACCCAGTACCTGGGTAATGACCTCGCTGCAGTCATGACCATCCAGAGGAAGCTCTATGGCATGGAGAGAGACCTGGCAGCAATCCAAGACAAGCTGAATTTCCTCAAGGGGGAGGCACAGCGGCTGGCAGCCGAGCACCCAGAGAACGCCAAGGACATCCTGGGCCGGGAGAGGGAGCTGGACAGGGCCTGGGAGGAGCTGCGGCAGACCCTGAAGGACCGGGGGGAGTCCCTGGGTGAGGTCAGCAAGCTGCAGACCTTCCTCCAAGATCTGGATGACTTCCAGGCCTGGCTTTTTAAGACGCAGAAGGGCATCGCGTCCGAAGAGATGCCCAACTCCCTCCCGGAGGCCGAGCAGCTTCTCAGCCTCCACGACGCCATCAGAGATGACATGAACCAGCACGAGGAGGACTATCACCGGGTGAAGGACACGGGTGCCGTGGTGACCGAAGGGGAGACCGACCCTCAGTACCAGCAGCTAGAACAGAGGCTGAAGGGGCTGGACACTGGCTGGGACGAGCTGCGCAGGATGTGGGCCAGTAGGAAGAACTTCTTGGGCCAGGGGCTGGACTTCCAGCAGTTCCTCAGAGATGCCAAGCAAGCAGAGTCCATTCTGAACAGCCAGGTACTGTCCATTGTCAGTCCCGTCTTCCTGTTTTGGATGGCTTTTGCAGTAGCTTTCTTAAATTCTTAAAATTAGATAAAAGGTTCATGTGTGGTATGAGAAGTTGAATTCCTAATGCAAAAGAGCTAAAATGGTCAGTATCCAAGAACCTGGATCTTTAAGGTTTTGTAAACCTATATCTTTAGTACAAATTAATACATCTCAGTTACATCTTCATTAACCCGCTCTCTTCTTTGAAGCTCCAACCCATTTTCATTGTTTCAGGAATACACTCTTGCGCACTCTGAGCGACCAGACACTCTGGATGGTGCTGAGACAGCTTTGCGAAAGCATGAAGATTTCATGAACACCATGGCTGCCAATGAAGAAAAGATTGCCGATGCCGTTGACAGTGGGCAAAGACTGGTAGACAGTGGAAACATTTACTCAGAGAGGGTTAAGGATAAGATTCAGTCAATTAAAGACAGGTACACTATCTGTTGTCCTAGTATTATGCCAGCTTCCAGGGAAGAACTTAAACTGACTACACAGAAACAGGAATTTCACTCAAAATAATGTGTGTTTGCAGGCTCTGTTGCTCTTGCATTTCAGTTTTCTTATTTAGATCTTTGTCTTTTAATTCTGGTAAAGTCCAAAGTGCCAATCTAATACCCAAATGTGTCTGTGCATTTACAGTAATCCCTTGATCACAACAACTGAATATCACTTTTTTGAGCAGCCAAAATGAAGTGTTGTATTAGCTATCCATCACATTTGCTTATAATATCTAATAGATTCATTGTCAAGTGTTCCTCCTCATTAAAAGTTAATTAACCCTTTATTGAAACAATATGTACATTGATTTAAACCATATTTTTTATTTAAGATGATTACCTGGACATACTGTGAACAGAGCATGTAGTACACCCTTTGAGTGTAGTACAACAACATTGTCCCACTCAGGATTTGAACCTGAAGTCCTTCACAGTCTGGAGTCCACAGCTTTTGACTATTACTGCATGCTGCCCTACTTAAACATTCCTCCCCACACCTACTGTCTACACCTGTCTACACTTGGCTGATGTCAGTTACTGGATTTGCATAACAAGGAACACGTTTTGCTATAGAACAAAATGTTTGACATTCACTCTGGTAATATTTATTTAAAATTACTCATATTGCAAGAACCTGTTCTGTGCACACTCGTCAGTATAATGCCAAAATAGAGAGCTGAGAGAATTTATCTACTCGTTCATTTCCTAACTGCTTCTTCTAATACAGAATGCCAGTCCATCACAGGGTACACATGGACAGAAACACAGATACGCACACACTCACACCTGTGTCAAGTTTTCAGGAAGCTACTTAACCCACCAGTATGTTTTTGGACTGTGGGGGGAAAAAACAAGGCACCTGGAGAAAACACATGTGGAGTCTGTATGTTCTCATGCTAACCAATGCTAACCACTGCGCCACCATGCTGTGTTGAGTAACTAAATTATTTCATTTTGAAGGCTTTGAAGCAGCATTCCATTACCGAATGAATATTTAGATGTAAGAATAATCATGTTTTCCATCTGTCATCAGATTGTAAAGTGCTGTTTGTCTAGACATTGTTGATGGTCTCTTGTTCTATAATCTAATTTGACATCAGGCTAGAAAGGTTCTACTGTTTCCAGTAAGTCGAACTGGTTTAAGCCTTGCTGCAGCACTATACAAATCCCCCATTAAAATGGGTATTGATCTTAAAGTGCACTGAGTGGCTCAGCTAAGTATTTATACTAGGTGCTCCATGTGTTAAGTATCTGTATTATAGTCCACATTATAAGTCTCAATGGAATTGTGTTCATACTTGTACATCATGGTATGTATATATTCATTGAAACATGAGCAAACACGGGATATGAGGATAATACATTTATGTGCTCATCTGTGTTTCTCTAGGTACAAGTCTAATCAAAGAAAAGCCAAGGAGGTGTCTGCTAAACTTAAAGACAACCGAGACCTTCAGCATTTCCTGCAGAACACCCAGGATGTAAGTGTGGTCAGATCTGGCTATTTCTGTGAGTTCGAGCTGGGAGTTTGCCATTTTGTGACATTATAACCGCTGGAGCTGTGCTGTTACGTCTTTCCTCCTTCCCCCAGCTCATGCTGTGGATCAATGAGAAGATGCTGACGGCTCAGGACACCTCGTACGATGAGGCCCGAAATCTGCACAGCAAGTGGCAGAAGCACCAGGCTTTCATGGCAGAGCTGGCTTCCAACAAGGGCTGGCTGAACAAGATCGACCAGGTGAGGACAGTGGGACTGCTGGCGGCCAAATCATTTCAAACACTCTCAAGATGCGAAGAACCGACTCAAGAAATGATTGAGTTCTTTGGATCGATAAGCTGCTAACATCCAAATGGGACAGGCTTCCTCTCATTTGTTATCTGCTCTTATTTTAACTTAATGTTTCAGAATTTCATTTTCTCCCTTTTTATCCCGTGGTGTTTGCTTGGAGTAAATTTAAGATCACTTTCTATGCAGAAGCCTTTCTATGCAGTAACTATTCCCAGCCTCTTTTTACCAGATTCACGTTTCTGCATAAATTGTGAAGTTTACTTTAAAGCAGTGCAAGTTGATGAAACACAAAAACAGTGAAGAAAAGAAGATCCCATGTTTCTGGTAGTGCTACTGTACATATGCAATGCTTACAAACCGCTCATAAACCTTTTTTTTTAGTCAAGAACATGAAAATGTGTGTGTTGATCCTAGACAGAGATTCTGACTAGTAGTGTAGGATAAGCTGCTCTTTAAGCAGAAGCTGTTTTTTTGCTTGGGTGTTGCATTTTCTGCTGTGCAGTTTTAGTAAATGTTTCCAGATTATTGTTCTAACCAGTGATTGAACATTTCTGACTGATTGTGAGAATATATCAGTGTTCCCCTCTGAAATTTGGGGTTAAAAATCCTGTTTTACCTCTCCCAAGACATATAAATTAAATCCTTTGCCATAGTAGCAATACACTAAAAGTTAGAGTTATGATGTCAGTAAGAGCTTTCTTGGGTTGGAAAAAAAAGGCATGTTTTTCTGTGGACGTGATTTGGATGATTCTGATTCGTGGGCAAACTCACGCATCCCTCTTTTGTGTTGGTGGTGTGTGCTCAGGAAGGAGAGGAGCTGATGCGTGCCAAGCCGGAATTTCAACCCATTGTGACGGAGCGCCTGGAGAAACTGCACCGGCTGTGGGACGAGCTGGAGACCACCACCCAGGACAAGGCAAAGACCCTCTTCGACGCCAACCGCTCCGAGCTCTTCGACCAGAGCTACGCTGACCTCGCCAAGTGGCTGCAAGAGACCACTCTGCAGCTGCAAGCGGATGGAGACATCAAGGACCTCACGAGTGCCAATATCCTGCTTAAGAAGCAGCAGGTTGGCCCAGTTTATTACACTACACAACCTAAGTCAATGTACTTGACTATGAACTAATCCATTAAAATGGGATTGGGGAAAAAACGGAAGAAAAAGTTTGGATTTCTGCAATGAAAATAATCACAGAATGGTGTCATTTCATAGTTTAAGAAAGCAACTAAATGTAATGAGATATGATACAAATGTTCTGTAAAATACCACTGCATTATTTTTTGCAGGTACATAAGCACTTGACCTACGTTTCTGTGTAAAAATGAAGTATACTATACATAAAACATTGCCATTGAGCTGTAGAACAAAGTCATGTGGAAACAAATTTTAGCATCAACCAATTAGAGGTTTATCGTACTTACAGAGTCCTGCTTACTGTATCTTCAACATATCCACCTCCCCCTCCCTCTCAGATATCTAATAGATGAATGGTTGTCCCAAACTACTTGATACAATGCTTCACATCCATTTAAACCTTGTCTATGTGTGTCTGCTTCAGGCCCTGCATGACACTCAGAGCCAAGCTACCACTTCAGGTGCTCTCTTTAATTTTAGTTGTTGTTACAGTAGGACTGCCATTGACCAAGAACAACTATGGCTTCACAGCTTTCCTTTCAATTTTCTGTTCTGTTGCTGGTCCATGTGGCTGAACTGTCTCTCTTCTGTGCCTCACCAGGTGATGGAGAACCAGGTGCAAGAGCACCAGAAAGAGCTGGAGGAGTTGCAGGCCCAGGTTCAGGTTCATGCCCCACTGGGGAAGGAGAGGCCAGAGATGGAGACTAAGCACAAGACCCTGGAGCAGAAGTTTCAGCAGCTCCTCACCCCCCTCCAGGAGCGAAAGGAGAAACTGCTGGCGGCCAAGGCTGTGCATCAGTTCTACCGTGACTTAGCTGACGAAATTGTGAGTAAGCTTCATTCCTTCTTGACTGAGACAGGCTTGTGTTCACCTGGCAGTGTGCTTTACAGGACTGAGACAGTTCATGTTACTGTCCTGATTGGTGTGATTGATTCGTGTCAGTAAGCCATGTTCTTACATTATACAAGATAACTTCAGGAAAATTCATTAGCTGGACCTGCTGTGCTGTATATTGAGACTTAGAAACTTGAGTTATGCAAGATTTTAGACACTGGCCAGCGGACGTCTGATATCGGTATATCGGAACATTTGTCAGGGCCGGTAGGAAGAGGATTCCAGTGACTTAAAACATTCAAGAGCTATGAATACTCATGTGTATGTCTTACATTCTTGAGAGTTTTCATTAGCCAACTGTGAATAGCGTTCGTCAAAAAAGGCAGGGCTTAGTAACTGGCTTTTGAGTGGGTTTGCATATTGTTCACTTTGCAGCAGTGACTCCCGGGATCATCCAAGCATGTGAGCTTACAGTAATTTCATGGAGTGCTAAGTCCCTTGTAAGGCACTGTAGAGCTTACAGTGGCCAATGACGTGCCACTGACAGGATCTCTCCATGTGGCAACTGCAGGGTGCTGAAATGGCAAACAGGGTTAGCAATTCCAGATTGGGTGTGTATAAAGTTGGAAAATAAATGGCAATTCCAAAAGTATTTTTCTATAACTAAGTAACTCCCATCTGAATTAAAATAAAGTACAGTAGGGTCTAACACAATGTTAAATTAGTTGGTAAACCTTTTTTTAAGGCAGTGACTTTACATTTTTGGTAATTAATTCAATGGTGAAGCAGTTTCTCATTTTTGTCACTCTTCCCAATGATCAGTTGTGTGGTGGTGCTGCTGATGAAGAATGGCTGTTGTGTGTCGTTCTGGTGGATCGGTTCTATATAGATCCATATATATGTCTTATATTTCCTTTTGAAGAATTCTATAAATGCAAGAATCTAATGTGAATGTTCCTAAACTAATGCAGAAAGTTCATAGATTAACCAAAAAATATTTAGTTTTAGGACGTGTACAGTGTGGCTCTGTTGTGCTTCCCTGAGAGACAGTAAGTTGAAGCGTGGAAATAATTAACTTGTTCGGTGGCATATTGAAGGTTGTCCTTAACTAAGCTTACTGTACTTTTGAGGAAATTCAAAGTAGGTTTTGTATTTAAGCTGCATTTCCTGTGACACTCTGCTCTTTCCTGTGTTGACATGACGTCTTCATCTTTGCAGCTTTGGGTGGAAGAGCGACTGCCCCTGGCCGAGGCTACCAACCATGGGAAGAACCTGCAGGCTGTCCAGCTGTTGACAAAGAAGAACCAGGTGTGTTCACAGCAGCTGTCTGCATGCAGGAACACAACCTCAGGTTTAATATGTAAAGGCCTAGATGTGTTTCAGGGGTTGTGGTACAAAAATCTAAAACAGTGTTGGAGTGAAATACTCTGGGCCATAAAGCCAGCATATCCACTTGTCACTTAATTTAGGAGAACTTTTAAAAACTTTTTTAAGACACAGTAACAGCAGCTCACAGGCACACAAGCATAAACAGCATAATAAATGCACAAGTTACAGTTTTTTGCTCTGTCAGAAAGTCCGTCTGGAAGCTTCTGGGAACAAATTAAGTGTCTGTTAATTTTTCTACTGTTCTACTTTTTAGGATTTACAATTCTTTCCAAAACATTGTACTTGAAGATATTTCCTGATTCAAGATGTATTGGTGCTTTGTAACTGAGATCGATCTCAGATGAATAAGAGTACAATAGTAAGAGACTGAAATTCAGAGCCCTAAATTGAAGTGCTTTACTTTGGAGATCTAGATTTAGAATAATAATTTTTAGGTATTGTTTTTATTAGTATGCATGCTTCCAATTACATAGGTCAAAACAGTGTTTTCTTGAACTTGAACTTTATTGCCATACAGTATGTAACAGGTACATGTACTGGTACAGTGGAATTCTTACTTAATTCTCATGATTTTTTTAAAAAGGGTAAAAACATGTATTTTTAAATGGATTTATTAATGGATGTTTTTCTGTATTTGTAAATGGATTTTCATTTGAATGTATTGAATTTCTAACATAATATTTCTAACATGCTTATTCCCATGTTGTACAGGAACTTATTTGTAAACTGTTAGACTGTAAAATGAGCAGCCTTGGCACAATGACAACATCTTTTTGTTAAACGCCTAAAACAATAATGGAGCAGGTTACTTGAGAGTGATTGGGCTCTCCATCTGGAGTAATAATTCAAATGGGAGCTGACCTTAATCTGTTGTACCAGACCCTGCAGAGGGAGATTGAGGGGCACCAACCACGAGTGGATGAGGTCCTGAACAGGGGAGACAGGATGGCCACCTCTGAGAACCCTGAATCAGAGAAGATAAGGCAACAGATGAAGGAGCTTCAGGAAATCTGGGTGAAGCTGCAGGAGGAGACAGCTAAAAGACAGGGGCGCCTGCGGGGGGCTCAAGAAGCCCAGCAGTACTACAATGATGCAGCGGAGGCTGAGGCCTGGATTGGCGAGCAGGAGCTGTACATGATTGCTGATGAAACAGCTAAGGTAACAGTGTGGAAGCTCTATTCACCTCTCGTTTGTGTTAGAACATCCATATCAGCGTATGGACTGTGCACAGTGAACAGTGTGAGTGTATGGACTGTGCACAGTGAACAGTGTGAGTATTGACTGCAGTGTGATTGTATGGACTATGCACAGTCAACAGTGAGTGTATGGGTGGCAGTGTGAGTCTATGAACTGCGCACAGTGAACAGTGTGCGGAGGGGGCTGAAGTGTGAGTATGTGGACTATGCACTGTCAACAGTGTGAGAATATAGACCATGCATTATAAGTAGTGCTTTGGTACTGTATGTTAACTGTGAGCATTGTGTCTACAGAATGAACAGAGTGCAGTGGTGATGCTGAAGAGACACCTGATCCAGCAGCAGGCTGTGGAGAACTATGCCAATTCTGTCAAGAACCTGGCTGACAGGGCCCAAAAAATGTTGGCTGAGGGCCACCCTGAGGGGTATGCTCCTTCGCCGTGAAATGTCACAGAACTATGTAGAGTATATTTGCATGAAAGTTTCACTCTTCAGTCGTGTTCTTATTATGTTTCTTAATTTACTTTCAGAATTCTTTAATGGTCTTTACTTGGGAAACTCTGTTCGCTTTTATTATGACACTAGACTAGGCGAAAACGCTGAGTGTTCCTAGCTGATAAGGGCCTGTTTGTCTCTACCAGAGAGCAGGTCATCAGATGTCAAGGGCAGGTGGATAAGCAGTACGCCAGTCTGAAAGAGCTGGCAGAGGAGCGCAGGAAGAAGCTGGATCACACCTACCACCTATTCCAGCTGAGCCGTGAGGTGGAAGACCTGGAGCAGTGGATCGCTGAGCGTGACCTGATGGCATCCTCGCAGGAGATGGGGCAGGACATCGACCACGTCACAGTGAGGCTCCCATTTCTCCTATCAAAATCCCCTTCTACTTTTTGTTACCTTCTCTTAACATTCCATTCAAACAGGCTCGTGCCCTCCTGTTAAAGTAACCATTTGCAAATGGACAGAAATTCCTTTTAAGCTAGAGAAGGTGCATTCAAGATACCGCTCTCCACTCCCCACCCCGAACCCTAAACACTGAACATCCATCCATTTTCTAATCCATTTTATCCAGTTCAGGGTCGCAGGGGAGCTGGAGCCTATCCCAGCAAGCAACACCTTGGATAGGACACCAGTCCATTACACACTCTCACACCAGGGCCAGCTTTTACAGAGCTCAATTAACCTACCAGTGTGTCTTTGGACTGTGGGAAACAGGAGCACCCAGAGGAAACCCACACAAACACAGGGATAACACACAAACTGCACACAGATAGTACTCCAGTGATTGAACCCAGTTCCCCAGCTCTGCGAGGCAGGAATGCAAAACCGCCGTGTGGCCCAACTCTAAGCAATAGATTCTGAAAAACCGAAAGCTGACAGGATGCGTTTCCCCCGGCAGCTGCTCAGGGAGAAGTTCCGGGAGTTTGCGCGGGAAACGGGCACCATCGGGCAGGAGCGCGTGGACAACGTGAACCTGCTGATCGACGAGCTGATCGACTCCGGGCACAGCGAGGCGGCCACCATGGCGGAGTGGAAGGACAACGTGAACGAGAGCTGGGGGGACCTGCTGGAACTGATCGACACTCGCACCCAGCTGCTCAACTCCTCCTACGACCTGCACAAGTACTTCTACGATGGCAAGGAGCTGGTGGCCCTCATCCAGGAGAAGCACACGCAGCTCCCCATGGACCTGGGGGGAGACGTCAGCACCGCCGAGTCCTTCCACCGGATGCACGCCGCCTTCGAGAGAGACATCCACTCCCTGGGGAAACAGGTATAACCTCCCTGCTGAGACTGGTGTCCATCAGAGCCACCCTTTACTAGGATTCAGACATTCTCCTCTCTATCCATTTCTGCTCATTTTCTCACTTTATTGGTTGAACATCCTCTGGAATATCACCAATTTTATTCCCTTTAAACATTTAAAAATCACCTCTCCCGTCAGCCACTGTCCTTTTCCTGATTATCTGAGATAACCCATTTTGTCACTGCTTTCTGAAACATGGTATAGGTAAATAGAGACCTGCTCTGTAAATTCAGTTAGTCTGTCTTTTGCCTTTTGGGTTATTGTCACTCTGAAGTATTTACACTATTACCAGTCAGGAGAATTGCACTTTTTCTTATTGCAGGAGGTCATGCAAGTAATATAAACTTACTGTAGCAACTTTACTGTCATGTAGCCCTCTTGAACTTCAGTAGTCATTGAATATAGTACACAATGTAAATGAATGAAGCCTCATTTACTCCTAATTCTTTGTATAGTATGAGGGTCCCGCACACAAACATACATACTGTATACAACGACAACAGAGACACAGTGACAAAAGCTGACAACTAGATTTGAACATAAGACAAACAAGAGACCTTTTACCCCATTGGGCCTTTTGATAGTAGTTAATTGACCTAAGAACCTCATCCAGATGTTTCTTGAACCTGGACTTCAAAAGCATAGCTGGGAAGCTTGTTCCACAATCCCACAAGGGTAAGAAAGGTACCAATTGTGTGAAATATGGTGCAGAAGGGCCTGCTGGAATAACATTTGGGAAGGAAAAGGCTGCTGGCTGAGTTCAGGCACATTGTATCTTATCCCAACTCCCACCCCATTCCCCAGGTCAAGCAGTTCCAGGAGACGGCCGCTCGCCTGCATGCGCAGTACGCTGGGGACCAGGCCGCCGCCATCCAGGCCACTGAGCACGAGGTGGTGGAGGCGTGGAAGGCTCTGCTAGACGCCTGCGACGGGCGGCGCTCGCAGCTGGTGAACACCGCCGACAAGTTCCGCTTTTTCAGCTTGGTGCGTGACCTCATGGCCTGGATGGAGAGCATCATCCAGCAGATAGAAACACAGGAGAAGCCCAGGTAGGCCTCACCCAGAGTGCACTGGAAAGCTAGAGAGGAGGCGCCCAGGCAGGTGTTTAATAATTCAAAATTGAATAAGGAGAAGGATCCTCCTCCTATTCATTACACAGGCTCCGTATGCATCTCCTATGCAAAATGAACTGCAAATTCCAAACCCACTTAACAGCGGCTTTCCAGTAGGTTGATAGTAAAAGACTTTTGCACACACAAATGCACCTCAACGCATCATGTATGAAATTTGGAATCTGCAGCCTGATTCTAATTTTGATTTGACCCTGGCCGAGAATTACTGCTAGACTTTAGTAAGGTTTAATCCCCTCCATCTGGGTTTCGGTGCATCAGTAATGATACATTTAAGGCTGTTTAGACAACAACAGGTCAATAACAATCTACTTAAGACAAGCTGAGGACAGATCACAGATTAATTTTGCTAACTTTTTGGGCAACTGTGCAACTGCTGGAAAGTCTTTCTGAAACCCAAAACTGAGTACAGAAGGTTTTGAAAAGAATTATTAAAATATCTACTCTTAGAGACAAATTTGTCTAAAAAATTAAGGAAGAGCTCAGCTGAATACTGGGTTTGGGATATATCAGATGAGCGATTTCACCAAGAGTAGATTGGGAACATTGTTAATATCCAAGCTGCATAGAATCTGCCTGTTCCAAAACAATTACCGATTAACAATGTACACATTAATACTTTCACTCTTTCCATTTCTCTTTAGAGCATGTATATGACAACAGACTTCATTCTGATCTGTTGGTGATAGTTTCCCATTCAAGCAAAAGGATTATTTAGATGGTGATGGACATAGAGAAGATTATGATTTATGTTCATAAATCATAAGATGGACATTGGGTGCTTAATAGGATTAATATGTATCAATTAGTTTTTTTAAATTTGACTCAAATTATACTTTTCTCTGTTGTGGCAGGGATGTATCATCTGTTGAGCTCCTTATGAAGTATCACCAGGGCATCAAGTCAGAGATCGAAACTAGGAACCCCAAATTCACAGCGTGTATTGAGCTGGGGAAAGCGCTTTTGGCACGCAGACACCAGGAATCTGAAGAGGTAAATGTCCAAGAGTTTTAAGGAGAAATAACGGTATGTATGAGAGCATGTTTGCCTAGTTTCCTCTCTGTGTTAAAATCGGGCGAAACTTCTATCCAGGTCTGAATTATACATTTTGTTTCATTTTTGTCTCACAAATAATGCTGGACAAACCGGGTATGACTTAGTATCTTGGGCAGCTCTTCTGGAATGACTTGAATAATAAAGGCCAGTTATGTGGAGTCTCTGATATTTCAGATAAATATTCAAGAGTGGTGCAGTGAGGGTACAGGTGAGGCCAAACAGCTGTTTCCTCAAGCATATGTGTTGATAATGCTAGGGCTTTAACTTTAAAATGCTGTCGCCTCTTCAAAGGCTTTTCAGTTGTGGAAATATTGTCTTTCCACGTATTGTTATGAGGAAAAGCAAAAAATAATGCAAATCTGAAATCTGTCTTATCGGACGAACTACATCACTGCCTGTCTGTCCAAGGTGATCTACAAAGGTTTACATTCAAACAATGTACTCATATATCTAATCTTACATGATGCAATATTAGTGCAGTAATAGCGAAGAACAGAAGATTACATTATATCCTGCACTTTGTGAAGGAATTCAATTAAGTGAAAACAAATACAATCCACATTGGGAATGCAGCATGTGGTGTAAGTCAGCTGCAGACCTTGATTATCTGTAACTCTGAGGAAATGTAAATGAAGAGTAACTGTCTGACGTTCCTGCCAGTCAGGCGTATAGTGGAGAGGACGATGTCCTAGTTAACAGTTTATGAAGTGTGCAATAAGTGGCAGTACCAAGTTGAGTGCTGTTTAAGCAGTAGATGGAGAGCTGTACTCTTAAAAAAAGTGTACAGCAGGATAGTAGGACTCTGTGATGTAGATTGATCCACTCTACCTTCCAGAGATGGAAAAAATGCTAAATCAGCACAAAACATGCCTTCTGTCTGTCTTTCGACAGATTAAAGAAAAGCTGATCCAGCTGACCGAGAAGAACAGGGAGATGATGGGCAAGTGGGATGACAGATGGGACTGGCTTCGTCTCTGTAAGTGCCGAATACCACATAAAAAAACAGAACAGACTAGAGGAGGCCTATTGGTTTGCTAGCAGCTAATTGAGCCAAGGATCTTAACTTGTATGTAACCAGTGGATCTCTTTTGACAGCATTGGTGGGGAAATTGTTCTAGAAGCGCCTTCTGTTCTGTGTTCTAAATGCACCTCCCTGTAGTTTCCAATTGTACTTGTATCAAGGCCAATCCACAATCTTGTCTGTTTAAAACGAAAAAAGGCTCGGTTCTTTTAGGATGTCAGCATAGAATGTTCTTTTATTCCTAGGGATGTGTCTGGTCGGTCTTTTTTGGACAGATTCCAGAACAGAAATATCATTTTGTAACAAGGTGAATAAAGATGTGCTAAATATCCCCAATGAGTTCTTACTAGTGTAATATATACAATTTGCCATTGTTTGTCCTTAGATTGATGTCAACATAAACTTATTAGTATATTTTTTAAGATCACTAATTACATCTTAAATCTGTAGTTTATTTTCTACAGTTCACAAGTATACGCAGGAAAGACGTTCTTATACCTGGGTACGTCAGGTGCAGTTTACTTGTTACAAGTACGACTATGCATTACTATCTCTATCTGAAGATTTTTAAGACAAAGAGAAATGGCTGGTTGACATCCTCATATCAATTAGCTACTATCAAACAGAAAAGATGAGCTGAATGGCCATCTCTCATGTGTAACCCTTCTGGTGTCCCTATGTTCATCTCCACTGCCTGCCCTGCGTTGTCTCCCTGGCAGTGCTGGAGGTGTGCCAGTTTGCAAGAGACGCCTCCGTGGCTGAGGCCTGGCTCATTGCTCAGGAGCCCTACATGGCTAGTCGAGACCTTGGACAGACAGTGGATGAGGTGGAGAAACTGCTCAAGAGACATGAGGCCTTTGAAAAGTCAACAGCCACCTGGGAGGAGAGGTTTTCTGCTCTGGAGCGGCTGACAACGGTATGATCATATTCAAGCTGTGCTTGTCTAGGAGTCCTCCCTGGATATTTATGTTATATAGTATGGTTTAATATTTATGTTATATAGTATGGATTGATATTTATGTTATATAGTATGGACCAGCTATACAATAGTAATATATTAGCTATATAATCCTCCTGTTTCTCCGGGTGGCTCTTTGATGGACTGTAGGGAGAACATGATTCAAAGCTCAGTCTGTTCAAGGAGTTTATACTTCTACTGACACGCTTTTGCTCACTTCATGGAGTAGAGTCACAGATACCGTTGCAATGTATTGTGATTGCTGAGAGCCACCTGGAGCCATCTATTGGAACACAGCAGGAAGACTGTCGTAAGCTGCCCTGTTGGTGCATGGCAATGAGAGATCACACATCCGACAGCTACAATCTCCATGCTGTTAGAAATGTGCCCCATCTGATTTTTATCTCATGATGAACAATAGGTTCCAAGGCCAAACATTTGCATGTAACCACAAGGTCCAATGAGCATTTCTGTTGTATTTTGCACCCAGAAAGATTCACCCATGATTGTACCCATGAGTTGTTGGAATGTAGTTGTCAGAGAACAGGGGGACTGCAGGGAGACATCATGCAGTAAATGATAACTAGCTTTCCTTTTACCCTTATATGGTGGTTATGTAGCAGGACAGCCAGCACGAAAGTAGAAGAAGAAATAAGGTGGCCTTTTCTATCAGCGGATGCCTTTAAATGTTGAATTTCTTGAAACTGACATACTTCTAAGAATTTTAAGCTTTGCTGTGCCTTTACTTGGATGACAAAAGGCTAAAAAACTATTGAAATGAACAAACCTACTGTATGTATATTTCACATATGGCTAAAATCTAAGAATCACGCCAGTGTTTAAATCTCCTTCAATACTCTGAATGTTTTTCTCTCTCCAGTTGGAATTACTTGAAATTCGGAAAAAGCAAGAGCAAATACGTCAAATGAGACAGGAGGAGGAAAAGCGGATTAAAGAGGAGATGAGGTAAGCATCTTTCTCTTAGACCAGTGTTAGCCCTGACAGAATTGATTACATTCATTTACATTCAAATAAACTGAATGAGTCCCATCCATCTTAAGATGGTGCAGGAGAAGCAAAAAGATAAGTGATCTGGGCTTATTATTTTATGCTTTCTGAACTATTGAATCATAATTCAATAGTTCAGCCAACACAAAGCAATTATTTTGGCAAAACACAATTATCCAGTTCTAGCTATTAAAATCATTTAAAAATGCAATGCTCTTTTTAATTATTGAGACAAGCTGTTGGAAAATAGAAATGGTGCTGCCCATTGGGTACTATCTTAATTACATAGTCAGTTATGTTATGTCACATGTTATGCATGTGCTTGTGTCTGCTTCAGTGTATGCTTGTTTTGTCATAACACCAAGGAAGTGCCAAGGATCTGTGTCTTAGTAAAATCTTATGGAGAGGAACATGACTCTGCTTGTAATATTGCTCACTCCTCTGTGCTTGACTTTTACCAGGAGAAGAGAGATGGGCGATACTGCGGACACCTTACAGCTCTACACCCCAGAGGAACAGTCTTTGGTCAGTAGTTCATTTTCAGTTAAATTTCTTATTTGTCACCTGAGAGGCTTGAGAGTTTCTTTTTTTTACTTTGGAAGAAAGATGAGCCCTGCTGCATACAGTGTAATAAGCGCTGCTCCTACCAAACTGAGAGCGTCTTAAAGCAGTGAGGTGAACCCATGGCAGAGTGAGCAGGCAGGCAGGCCAGATGTTGGTAATAACTGAAATCCAAGCCAAGGTCAGGAAACAAACTGTGTTCAAGGCAGCAGGGGAGTCAAAATACACAGGGAAATCCAGGAGCGTAGCCAGGACACAAACACAGATCAAAAGCCAGAAAAACAATCAAGTTGAGCGCAGAGAATATCCAAATTAAAGCACAGAGGGAAATATGGAATGCTGGGAGTGCAGCAAACACTCTCTAAGAACGATGATAACTGGAAAATCGGGTCTTAACTATCCTGTGGAAGCAAGGTAAGGACTGATTTTAGTAAGAGTTGGGACTGATTTCCATCACTTTGCGTTGTCATGGTAATAGATTGATTGACCAGTGCAGCCGCAGGAGTGTCAGTTGCCATGGTGTGCCTAGGTGCTTCTGCTGGTAGTAACAGTGTGTCTAGAGTGTGACACACAGATTCTAGATGGTGCCACTAGGTAACCGTGCCCAGCAAAGCCCATGATCTGTTGGCTTTGGAATGCTTGTCTTGTTACTGGCGTCTTCAGGGATTCAAAATACTACTGTTGTAGGTTCACTGATAGAGACAAATGTCTCAGAAAAGCTGTACCTTTGATTTTCTCGTGTCAGTGGAGGGGAGCGACAGTGGCATGGATGCATTTATTAATTTTATCAGCCGTGCCTTGAAGCTTGACCTGTTCAAGTCTCAGAAGCTCAGCAAGGCTGGGCTAGGGTCAGTACTTGAATTGAAAAACATGGAAGCATGTTGATATGCATTCAGATTAGACACTCTGGCATATGACTGGTGATGCTATGCTGTAGAAGGTGCCATCTTTTTCGGATAAAACTTTCAACCAAGTTCCTTTCCAGACTGTGGATGTGGAACATTTCACAAATCCTGTTGCTGAGATTCCCAGAGTGCTTACATATGGCTGATTGCCTCCAAGGGTCGGAATCCAGCAACATGATGACAATCGAGAGTTCCCAAATGCTTGCATGCTTTTGGTGCTGTGGGTTAGGGCACATACCTCCAAATCGCCAGTCATCACTGAACCTCCTGTGTAGGGCTGTAAATAGACAAGTGACTCGAAGATGAGAGAGCAGGGTGAAAGAGTGGGGCTGCACTTCCCATCTCCCCTTTGTGCGGCAGTAGGATTCATAGCCATGAGCTGAGACATGAATAACACAAGCAGTCTCCATGAAACCCAATGTTCACTTAATGGCTTTGTAAACGTTTTTATTGAGTGTGTATTTTTTTAAAGATTTGTCCCATTCAAAATGTAGCTGGTCTTCGCACATCCATTTGCAGATCATAAACAATGCTATGGGAAGCCTAGGGCTGTTTGACAGTAATTATAGGTTCTTACTATCTTTATGGCACAGCTCTCCTTCATATTTTATGAATTCCCAATGTGCTGCATCATATTTTAGAAGGACTGGAGAGTTCAGGCTTCTCATTAATATTAAATCTCCAAGATGAAGCCTGAAGTAGTCCTGGCAGAGCACAGTCTTGAAACTCCTGGATCAGCTTTGGCATGTTTTTTTTTACTCTCCTGCTGCTTCTAGTAAATCTTTCAGCTGCACTGATTCAGGTGTCCAGAATATTTCTGAATCTTTATGCCAGCATAATTCAAATTTATAATTTAAGACATGTTCAAACGTTACAGCTGAAATACAGTTTTACTCAGTATTGCAGTAAAAGGACAAGGTTTTGCAGAATATCTTAAATACCTGTTTGACACTCGCAGAAGAAAAAAAAAGGGAATCTAAAATGACTAAAAGGACTTTGAAGTGAAGCAGACCTGGGTGTGCTGATACAGCATTGCTGCATTTTGATTTATTGAAATGGTTTATAAAAGAAAATAAAAACCTAGAGTGTGCTACCCTGAGATCTATCCCAGAGTCACAAGGTGCAAGGCAAGACTATCCCCACAGTCCAGCATTGTGAGCCTCCAAAACTCTTTTGAGAGCTTCCTCTAACAGTGACCTACTGTTTTTCTACAGACGGGGTCTGCAGCAGAGCAGAGGCCCGCTCCGCTGGATGAGACCGCAGCCCCAGACAGACCGGAGACGAGCTCAGGAAAGAGACCGTCACTGCCTGGCCCGCTGCCGCCCCCTGTGGAGAGCGAGAGAGCCGCCACACTGCCCTCCGAGACTCAGTCTGTGCAGCCTGCACTGCTGGAGGGGATGCTTGTACGCAAACACAGCCTGGAAGGGCCTGGCAAGAGAGCCTCCAATAGGTAGGAGCCTCAGCTGGACGCCAGCAGACACCATAATGCAAACTCAGTTTTGTGGGCTGGATTAGCCATTTATGTGTAAAGCCAAACTGCGGTGTGACTCATTATTGTCCTTGGCCTCAGTCTGTGGCCTGTCACATATTGTTGCCTGGTGAGTCTGCCTAGTGTCTAGCCGTGGACAAAGGGTTCAGCACAACTAAAGAAGAGAGGAGACTGAGAAGGAAAAGGCAAAATCGAACATGAACACCAAGAGAAAAATATTTTTCTTGAGATGATTTAAGACTTTTATCCTTGACTTTCAATTGGTGGTGTTGTTTTTTAATTAGGTTGCTGGTAAGATTAGTGCTTCATGCAGTAAGAGGAACTGAAGTGTTCATGAATAGTTTAAAGTCTGAATAGTAAAAATGCTACAACTGTATCTTAATTGTTAGTGTATTACAAAAGGACATCTCACAGACCAAGTTTGCCAGTGAGTAGTGTGCTGAGCACCATTAAATGTCCTGCAGTCTCTCTGACTCACTAAACTAACACTTTTCACAAAGTGTTTGCAAAGGAACAGTTATGCTCTTATATAAGATGCTCTGTTTTCTCTGCCTACTCTTTGTATAGTAGATTTACTCCGCAGCTTTTCTCAGTAAACCTAATTTCAACAATTCATTAAGTTAACTCTTTTTTTGCAGTTCATTAAGTAATAGGATGACAAATGGAAAAATCCTTTACCCTCTGTTGAAAGTGATCATCACTTAATGACACATTTTCGAGTTTTAAGGCATTAATTCCGTGTAATCTTCTCAGCAGAGACTATTTTCTCTTGGGCTGTAGTTTGATTATTTTGTTCAGTTTTAGTCTAAGTGTTACAGAAAGAATGATTGCTTATCTAGAAAGAGTCTGAATATGGGCAGAGGCAGTTGCAAAGGTATTGCAGGCATTCAATATTCTAAAGGTGCAATGAAAATGCCTACCCATGGGAATTTCAGGGCTTCATAATGAGTCAGGGACCTGGGGTTCACAAATGGACTATGAATCTGTCTACAAATAGGGTGCATCTGTTTATGGGGAGTCCTGGAGGTCTGGAACAAAGCACCCATCCATGCTGTTGAAACAGTCAAATGGCTGAATGTAGGATTAATAAGATACAATTGGGATCTTTTTCTTTATGTTCTCATGTAAAGGTACAGTACCTAAAGTAAATTAAGCATATTATTTCCTTTAGGTCATGGAACAGTCTGTACTGTGTGCTGAAACCTGGTGAACTGTCTTGCTATAAAGATGCAAAGAGCTTCTATCTGGGAGTTACATACCATGGAGAAGATCCTCTGTCTCTCAGCGATGCAGTCTGTGAAATTCTAACGAATTACAAAAAGAAAAAACACGTGTTCAAATTGAGGTAGGAATTCTAATTTTTCTAGAGTTTTTATTTGGTTCATTTAAGTTTCAAAGCCATTTCCTTATTCAATGTTTGCTTCCCTGCAAGGGTAACATTTTGAAATCAGCCTTTTGTTAAAAATGACTTATTCTTGAATTGCATACACAGTATTTGTCAAAAGCAACTATGTTTTATATGAATTAAATTTCTAGATGAATACCTCTTTCTAATGAGATTATGTTCCAGTTACTCAGACCACAGTTCTTCTCTATACCACACTAGAACTCCTTATAATAGGAGTGATCAGCCCCAGCCTTCAGTTCAGTCCTACAAATTTAAACAAAAAGTTTAAAAACAAAAACATGAGGAGGCTACCCCATGTAGCCTGCCAAAACTTTAATCTCCGTCTTTGCACGAAATGGTGTTTTGCTATACTAACTAGTTTAAAAAGCCCATTTGAAATGAAAATACTAACACCCAGTAGCTCTCCAGGACCACAGCTTGCTGTTTCTGACTTCATAAGACCACTTATTTTCCTAAAGTCACCAAAACCCACATGTTTATGTCTGATGATTCAAGGGTGTCCTCCAAAGTTGAGGTTTGCCACTCCTGCTCTGCAGTATTTGTTGCCATGGAAGAAAGGATAAACTTTCTTGTTTTTTGTGGTTTGTTAGTGGGAGAATAATATTGAACTGTGTGCAGAGGTAAACCTGTTGTGTCTGTTCTTTCACACAGGCTTGGGGATAGCAGTGAGTACCTCTTCCAGTGCAAAGATGAGGTGAGTCTTTGAGAAACTATAGGCAAACTCGTGTACCTGGCTGATGAATACTGCTTATATGGGCAGGATTTTTGCTTATTAAGAGAGTATGCTGAATATTTAACATACAATATTCATTCTACTTAGATCCCAAAGGATGTTCGGAATGAATGTATAAAATCATTTGCATCCTCTGTCAATGTGCTTCTGGTTGTAAATCATCCAAGGACTTTCCTCTTTAGGTGTTGTTGTAAATAATACTGTATACTTTTGTATTGTAATGCTGCTTCATAATATTGAAAAGAGAATGAAATAACCAGTGGTCTAAAAATTTTTAAAAACCTATATGTGGTCATGTGATGACCCTATAGCCATTGCAGGGTGAGGACAGCTCTCATTATATGAGTTATTAGAAGGATTGTGAAAACTGAAGATGCCTCCCATGCCCCTTGAGTTGACAGTATCTCTGACAGCCTGAAAAAGACATGGAAAAATAAAAGCTGAACTGAACCACATACAAGCTAGTATTTTTAAATAGCAAGCTTCAGATTTGCCAGGTTTGTTGTCTCAAATCAATTATCACCTGTTTAAGTGCTCTTTAGTTGGGTATTTATATGTAAGCAGATGACAAAACCTACCTTAAACCTACAGTAAGCCAGTTCTATTTGCCAGTTAAAAACACTAAATCCCTACTTTAATAATGTTAGATAGAAAGTACACAACTCACATCAGAACCACTGAATGTTTTGCTTCCAGTCCCTCAAGCAGGAGACAAAGATGACTGATCCAGGAAACACAGATCACTGATCCCAGTCCAGCACCTGTTTAACCTGCATTTCAGCTCTACAGTTACCAGTTTCACCTAATGGATCGTTATGGCTATTTTATTTTTGCTGGTGGTTAAACAAGGTGTTCAAACCAGTATGCTTTTTAACAAAATGGAGAAGGAGTATACCATTTTTGTAGTCATTATAGATTAAAAAAGTCATCCTAGGCATGGTGACCGAAGAATATTTTTTACTAAGTTAGTACAAGGTGAAGACTCAGAGATGGCTCATTACCTTTTAAAGGAAGGTAGGCTTTAAAACATCGAAGACTAATACAGGAATAAGCTTGAAAATGTTCTGGTTATAAAGACACAGAAGGCCTTTTTACCAATGCATCCATTACAACCGTTCTTCCGTGTGAGAACTTAACTGCAATTTGACTGAACAGAGCTGAGCTAATTGACCGTCTTGCCTGTGTGTTGCAGGAGGAGCTGCAGAACTGGACCCAGGCACTAGAGAGCGCTGCAGCCCCTCAGGGAGAGTCCCAGAGCAGCTACGGGACGCGTGCTCGCAGCCTGCCGCCCCTCTCCTCCAGCACCGCGGGCGACACTGGCAGTGCCAAGAAAGACAAGGAAAAGAGGTTTAGTCTGTTCACCAAGAAGAAATAACACTGCTCACACCAGGGCCACCCGCCCCACTCGGACAGTGAATATTGAAAACCATGGTGCACTGCCTTTTCTTTTTAAATTACCAATGATTTATTAGAATTAAACCTGTAAGGTGATTGAGAATGGAACTCACACTTTGTCCTCTGTATTCAAACCTACAATGCTAGATTCACTTGACAACACTGGTTTTGAGTTTGAAGGGTCAAGAAATGTTTTCACAGCCAAACAACCAAAGATCATTTTAAGGAATTTTCCTTTTTTCTTAAGAATCGCATGCTGAAGCAAGATGTTATTACCTACAATATATGACTTGCAATGTTTTGCCTTACTCGCCTAGAAAGAAATGATTGTAAAATGTAATTCTGTACTGTCAGCTTCGAAAGTAAAACCTGGGGCAGGCTTTGGTAGATTTGTAAAATGCAGTTTCTACAAGATATTAAGAGGGATTTTCTGGAATAATTCATGTCAACATACAGCCCATCTGCAAGTGAAGCAGCGCTGTACAGCGCTGTCTAGAACAGAAACCCCAATAAGTGGTAGTGTACAATTCTACTGCCCTTTACTTTCAGATACCACTACAACCTAAACATATTTTTCCGTTCTCTAGCAAACAAAGAGAAACAATCAGATTTACAGGAAGATTCTGGAAGGGTAGCACTCTGATAATTCAAAGATTGTCCCACATATCAAGGTTTTTTCAAATTCAACTTCAATTTAAACTAATGTAAAATGCACACCAGAAGGCAGTTCTTTAGTAACAGCTGTGGGTTAAAAGACATTTTAAAGACTTCTTTAATGCAACTAAGTCTACAAAGAAAAAAAACTTTTGTGAGTTTTCAGCTAAAACCAAAATGGCTCAGAAAGAACAGAAGAGCAAGGCAATCGTTCATTTAATGATCAAGGGGACAACTGTTAACTGGTGCTAGAGGGGATACGAGTGAAGTTAACACTCCTTGATTTTATTTCAAATTTTGGATTTGAGCTGTGGAGAAAAACCTGAAGATGCTGAAGTTAACATTGTAAAAAAATAATTATTAAAAAAATGTTGCTGTTCTGTCACTGGCTTTACCACAAGAATTCCAGGCTAAAGGCACACACAAAGAATTGTATGGAGTTCAACTAATCCACTCCAGTATTTTTTTTTATTTTATAAAAATATTTGTATTCTTCTGTATACTACAGATACACTATAGTTTTTCTGTATTCTGTAGGGAAAAGAGCACCAAAGTCATTGCAAAGACTGTAGTAGTGAGGGGGAACCACTACCGAGCTTTTGAACTCCAAAATACAGGGAATTCTATTTGGAATATGCATTGATATTAAGACTTCTTATATTTATTATCTATTTACTGAATTTGCTCTTTACCAAATGATTGAAATCGCCGTTTTTATTTAGTTCTCTTTAAGGGGCATTAGAATTGTTTGCCTTAACAATGGCTGATCAACAATGCCTTGCGTTGTTTCCTTTCTGTCTATGAAGTGTACACTGTTTCTGTCAGTTGTTTCTTGCTGTTTGCATTGTTTTCTCCACTTAAAGCTATAAATACTCACAATGCCCATTTTCCTATGCTTTCTTCCTTTTCTTTTTTTTAAAGCATTCATTTTACATATTTTCAAAATGTTTGAAAATATAGTATTTATCCTCAGGAGACTTTCTGAGAAGTTAAATACAACTGAGAATTAATAAAACAATTTGAAGAACAGCAACTTACCCAAGATGTTTCAGCATTCTTTGTGAAAGTTGGGATGATTTGGTTATGTAATATCATTTACCCTTGAAGCAGAAAAAAATAACGTCCTTGACCTTGTGTGACTAAACAGGACATGTCACTGATCAGTAGTTATTGGTGGTTACTCACCAAGCACTAAGTATAATATGCTTTCTGTGCTAGAGTGACAGAAATCCAGTGATTTGCCTACAGTTAAACTTACATACAACACCCCACCCTGCAATATTGAACTCTGAGGTTTTGCAAATCATTTGACCATAGTGCATTAATTGACTTATCCTTAGTAATCATCCCATTCACTCAATGCAAGAAAAATCCTATTATTTCCCGTGTTTCTGGGAGCCCTTCTCTAAACTTCTGTTAAGGTACTAAGCAGGACAAGTTACAGACTGCACCTGCCAACAGGCCTGTCTGCTGATTGTGTTAATTGATTCAGGCTGTGCCTGAGCAGAGGAATGGGCTTTTCTAGAGTTAAGGAACAAGTAATAGGTTTATTCGATGCTGTTTATTCCATGCTCTTTTCTAGAGTTAGTTTCTTTTATTGCTCTTTACTCCTCCAATGTACCTTAGCAGTGTGAAGTATACTTTAATCCCAGTACTGGAGTGCTGGGTATGAAGAAACTAGAACGCTGGAGTGGGAATTTCTTCTACCCCAATGCTCTGCATTTTAAAGAAGCCTGGGAGTGATAAGTACTAGTTTCTTTTCAGTTTTTTTGGGTTTTGTGTGTAGAATTCAAATACCTTTAAAGGCTATGGAAGGGGAAATACATTTGAAACATTCTTATAATAATGCTCAGCAGCAATGGGAGGTCATGTTAGAAATCTATAGATGTGTTTGGGAAAGTGAGAAAGTACTCTATGGTAAATGCTGTTATTTTTCTGAGGAGGCTGGTAGGTTTCAAAGAACTGCCTGAACTAGAGTTTTTTTTTGTATTACTTAAAAATGTGATCCATTAAAAAGGCCCGTAAGGGTTTTCCTTGCTAATCTCATTGCTAGGCTAGCGTAGGAGTCTGCAAGTTAGTGTCTATCTTTTTATTGAAGCTCATTTAATAATAAAGATATTTCAGGATGAAACATACAAAGGTACAATGGTGCAAAGGATATTGAGACTCAAAGTGAAGAGTGGGACCGTCAGCCATTAAGATCAGAGAAACATCCGTTATCCCTTTTTTTGTTAGGAACTGTTCAATAATCAGTTGTGCTTCTATTAAAGTGAGTGGACTTAAACTCTTCCTTGACCATTGGAAAATGGCTGACTAGTTGCAAAAATAATCAGACCCTTCCTCAGATGTACCATTTTGTAAAATTACAAACTGCGGTGTACACTTTTTAAATTTACTTTAATATTTGAAAGCAGAAATAGTGTTGAGCTCAGCCTGATCTTCGCATTGTTGGGAGTCTTTTACTTCTTAATGATATTGATATCTTAATGAGATATTAAGGGTTTTTGAAATGTTTCACACCCTTCTCCTACCCTCTGCATTTTTTCAGATTTAAATCTCAGTAGTTTTAAAAGCTCCTTGGTCATCACAGCTGAATTCACTGCCTGACTGAATGACCTTACAGAGATAGGTGTATTTATTCTGAAATAGTGTGAATTATTTGTGTTGCGCACACAAGCCACAATACTAATGGTGTGGCTTGTTAAGATAATTGTGTACCTTAATCAATTTAGGTTTGCCACAGCAAAAGGTTTAAATAAAAATATCAGTAATGACTGAAAGCTCTAACAAAAAATGTATGAAAACATTGAAAAAGGTGTAAATACTTTTGCAAGGCGTAGTTTTAGAGATACCTTCAAATAGAGCATTAACTAGTCAATCCTTGAAAAAAAAACTACTGAAAAATTAGTTTTTCCACCTTTAGCCTAGGATACAGCACGATTAAATCTTTTAGATAGAAAAGGTCTTTACTGTTCTGTTGGAGGGTCATCTTACAACAAACTGGTATTTACCAGCATTGATTAAAGTGGTAATTAAATATTAATTATTTTTAGGTGCAAGATGAGATTAACTCTATTTTTAATCCACCTACGTTTGCTGATCAGTTTGCTGACCAGATCGAACTGGGTGTACTCCAGGCTCTAAAAAGCAGCTCAAAGCTGGCCAAGTATACTCTGCAGAACAGTCAATAGCTGCCAGAGCT